ACTGGATATTATTTTCTGAGGTAAAATTGGGAACAAGCGCAGTGTCCCCCTAATCAAGCTTTACAAAGCAATATTAATAATAAATAACTAGAGAAATTGCATTTCCTGCGAAAATACAGACTGAATACTTATTGTTGAAGAACATGCTGAAAAACAACTGAAATTAGCTAAAAACATGCTGAAATGTAGCTGAAATAGAAGAACAAGCCCAAGTTCGTAGAAGAAAGAAGAAAGAACACATAATTGCTGATTTAGGTATAAATAAGTACAAATTAGCACAAAAATTAGGGGGGAAAGCTGAAATTAACAAAAAAAATTGCTGAAAAGTAGCTGTAAAGTCAGAAAGAAGCTTAAACTACCTGAAGGAAGTGGAAGTAACTGAAATGAGCTCCAAATATGTGGAATTATCTAAAAAAGCTGAGTTTAGCACAAGTCAGCTAAAAAGTAGCTGAAATGTAAAAAAAATATATATATATAGCTGAAAGGAGCATAACAAGCTGAAATTAGCAGAAAGAAATTAATTGGGCTGAAAGTAGCCGAAATTACCATGAAAAACTTGAATATACTTGAAAACAGCTTAAATTAGCTAAACAATGCTAAAAAATAGTAGCTGAAAAGGTAGAAGCTTAAATTAGCAGAAGAAATCAAAAAGAAAATGTTTGCTCAAATAGGCTGAAAGAAGCATAAATGAGCAAAAAAAAAAAGTGAAAATTATCTGAAAAAAGATTAAATTAGCAAGACAGCTGAAAAGTAGCTAAAAAACAGAAAGAAGCTGAAATCACCAGAAGGAAGTGGAGAGAGCACATTTTTGCTGGATTAGACTGAAAAAAGTTGAAATAAGTGCAACATATGTGGAATTAGCTGTAAAAGTTAAACTTAGCATAAAAACAGCTAAATAGTAGCTGAAATAGTACAAATAGCTTAAACTTTCATAAATAAGCTAAAATGAGCATAACAAGCTGAAATGAGCAGAAATAAGTTAATTAGGCTGAAAGTAGTCGAAATTACCACAAAAAAAATTGAATTTACTTGAAAACAGCTGAAATTAGCTAAAAAAAAAAATGCTTAAACAAAGTAGCTGAAGAGGTAGAAGAAGTTTAAATTAGCGGAAGAAATCAGAAAGAAAATGTTTGCTCAAATAGGCTGAAAGCAGCATAAATGAGCACTAAAAAGTGAAAATTATCACCAAAAAAAAAAGATTAAATTAGCAAAAGACAGCTGAAAAGTAGCTAAAAAGCAGAAATAAGCTGAAATTACCAGAATGAAGTGGAGAGAGCACATTTTTGCTGGATTAGGTTGAAATAAGTGCAAAAATTGTGGAGTTAGCTGTAAAAGCTAAAATTAGCATAAAACAGCTAAATAGTAGCTGAAATAACATAAATAGCTAAAACTTGCATAAATAGGTTGAAAGGAGCATAACAAGCTGAAATTAGCAGAAATAAGTTAGAAGAAGCACAAAAATGTTGTAGTTAGCAGAAAGAATCTGAAAGGACAACAAAACAGCTAAAACAAAACAGCTGAAAGTAGCTGAAAAAAGTTTAAATTTGCACAAGGAAGCTGAAAGAAGCTGAAGCAGAACAAAATGTGAAAGGAGCAGTAAAAGGTTGTAAACAGATCTAAAGATCTGAAGTATGGACAATGAGCTCAGTTCATTTTATTTGAGAAAAAAGTGGCAGAAAAAGCTAAATATTTCAAAAAGCTAAAGTTGCACCAATACCAATAGTCACTGCAGGCTTTTCCTGAACTAACTGAATGTTTTGATATGATTTGTTGAAATAGCACAAAAATTGCGGAACGAGAAAGATGCCGAAAAATGTACGGAAGACAAACGGATCATAACAGTGTGAATGCATCATAATCATTCACACAATAATCATTTTCCTTGTGATTCAGCCACATTCATTAGTGTAATGAGTGAAACTGTAGTTAGTGTGGTGGACTGATGCAAGGCCTGCTTTTGTATTTATGTTTTATTGATTCGTATTTTCACCCATCGAGCCAAGTAATTAAATCGATCAGGTTCTCCCTCAAAGCATGTCACGGCAAAGCTCTCACGTGGAAATGTATCTTATTTACGTATTGGTTGTGTGCGCCCTGTTTCCTCACATTGCGCGTGTGGCCACATATTTTACGTGCATCTAAAAGCTCAGATGTGTTTCCAACAGAAGGACGGGCCAACCTCGGTGTGAAACCGTTGAAAAGAAAGGATGAAAAGAACACAAGAGTGATTTGGTGCTTTTAGCAGCTTGCTGTGACTTCCTTGGAGAAACTGTGGGTTAAAAGCTTGAATGGAGCCTCTGTGCAGGTTTGTGCCTCGGCCCCTTCACATTCAGGCAGTCACGTCTCTGTTTGGAAAGATGCGTCAAAGCTAAGGGACATGAAAGAAGAACAGGAGATGAACGGAAAGGAAGAGGCTAAAGGGGGAATATAGGAGAGAAGCAAGACAAAGCCACAGTAAAGGAAGCAGCAGAGTGGGGGAGCATGCATTGCAATCCTTGTGGGTGTAAATATTTGCTGTTCTGCTTGTCAGGGTAGCGTTCGCCAGAACTGGTTGACTCCTTGTCCTTTAGCTGAATACTGATGAAGCTCAAGGCACAGAGGAGCAACGGGGGGAACACAGTGTGTTTTCTGTTAAGGTGTGTGGAAGAGTGTGTCTGGAAGTAGAGGGGAAAGGAGTTTAGGAAGCACTGGGATGAGAAATCAGGGCGAGAAGGAGTCAGGACGTGTGCAGTCAGCAGCGTTCACCCTGGACCTTTTTATTTCTTTCTCCTGGAGTCACTTTGGCTACTTGGCTAATAAAAACCTAACATTCCTTGAAAGAATACGACTAACATTATTTTACACTAAAGTGACGTAGCCATTTTGGTCAAACTTGAAAATAAAGTTTTGCGCAATCTCACATAATACTGTGGTTTGTTAGCTCTTGGAAGCTAACGTCAAATTTGAGCTCATTATCTGTAAAAATGACTGAATTGTAAATATTTTAGGTTGGTTAATGTGAATAACATCATTTGTCGATGTACATCAAATGATTACTTTCTGAAGTATGCAGTAAAATCTGTCCAGTAGTACATGATATATTTTACTGACAAAAAAACAAGGTTGACACAGTTTATGTTTAAGTTACTAAAAAGTTCCTGTAGATATTTTGACGGGGACTGCCACATTGCAGCCATTTAAAATTTTTAATTTGACACTACTATGTGTTTGAGTTTGCTCTCAGCTACCATCACACCAAATTTCAGCTCAATATGGCAAAATAAAAATCAATGACTTAGACATTTTTATTTTAAGCTATGGTAGCCATCTTGGATTTTTGATTTGCAGTCTATTAAGGATCACTCTCAGCTGTCAATACACCAAATTTCATCTAACTAGCTCTCAAAACAGCCGAGTTATATCCATTTGAAATCAGCTTCGATGGCCGTCTTGAATTTTTAGATTTTAATTCCGACTGTTGTGGATCGTTGTCAGGTACCGCCACACCAAATGTCAGCTCATCTTTGAAAATAGCTGTTATTGTTGTTTTTCACTTTTAGCTAAAGCAGCCATCTTGGATATTTGATTTACATCAGGAATGTGTAACAACTCACTCTCAGCTACAACCATACCACATTCCAACTCAATGTCTCAAAGAACAACTGACTTATAATCACTTTCGAGTTTTCTGTGGTAGCTGTGGCAGCCATCTTAAACCAAAGTGCCTCCAAAAGTTAATCAATGTTTTGTTCAGTGACCTCTTCACTCTAGGTCATGTGACGTCACTTTGCCAGTTAGAGGCTGTTAATAGAAATGTTAACGTTTTTCAAGCCGGTTGCTTTGATATAACATTTGTGGGTGTACACATGGCGGTTCAGGCTGCAATAAAGTTGAAGGAGGAGGAAAGCCCTTTTCAGATGGATAATAATAGTATAAATAATAAATTATGGGTCACTATCTGTAAAATAGTTGTTGAAGGCCAAATGGCTGTGGCACTAGCTTGAATTAAGCTGACCCCCAAAATTAATCAGTTGTAGATGTGCATTCAAAAAAAATTCCTGAAAGTTTTATTAAAGTTGGTTGAGTGATTCATGAGATAATTTGATAACAGGCAGAAAAAGTTCACTGCAAAGAGCTAATGGTTACATTTTAACAAAGGTCTTGCACAAACTGTAAGTGCTCTGAACATTTGTTACGCATCAGTGTAAGCTAGTACTACCACACCAAATTTTAGCTCAAGATCTGTAAAAACGCTGGCGTTATAGCCATTTTTTGTGTGTTTTAGGATCATGTCAGCCATCTTGGATCAAGGTGAATGCAAAATTAATCAGTTGTACATCCAGTGATTACTTATATTTGGTAAAAGACATGAATGTACCCACACGCAGACAGAAACAAGATCATTAATGCTTGCGTTTTGCCTTTTATTAGTGGGCAAAAATAACAAACTAATCAAAGGAGCAAATGATACTCATTCTGGTTTCATATAATTGGATGATTCAGATCTTTGTTCAGCAATCCTGTCAAATATTAACGAACTATGTGAAGCCACATTTGACATAGAGGGAGTTTGATTTTTACTTTGTGGTTCTCAGAGGCCCTTAAACGTCAAGTGTTCAGCAGCCTCTTATCTTTGACATGATGCAGTAGTCATGCAAGAAATAGTAAAAGATAAAAAGTGCAGGAACCCAAGTGTGGGCAGAACAACCCACCAGCACGTCTTCCTGACAATTATCTATATTGTCGACGTGTCTTTGACCGATTGGATATCTGTTAAAGGTCACTGAATTAATGTCCAGCGTGTCATACAATTACAGAGCACATTGACTCCTGCTAACCTTTACTGCAAGTGCACATTAGCATCCAGCCACATTAGAATGACCAAGGCGGTGTCCCTGCAGACGCTATCTACATGAATCTCGTTGCTCTTCTCTTCTTGCAGTGCGTGCCCTCAAAGGGTAGGTCTGTTGATATCAGGTTCTCAAATAGGTTCTTACCTTTGCACTGCTGTTTGCTTCCAGGTACTTCCCCATGGGCCACCCGGTGTCGGTGCATCTCTACTTCCACTTTGACCAGTTCCAAGGCTACCTGGTCCAGCACCACGCCACAAACCTGGCAACGAGCAAGCTGGAGCTCATGGAGACCTGGGTGGCGCCCAAGAAGAACTTCAGGCTCACCACACCTCCTAGCAGCACGTTTAGCAGGTTACAGTTCGCGGAGGTGAGTGGTTTTTAGTCACTTGTTTCATCTTGGTATTTGAAGAGCATATTTGATATAAAACCCCAAACATTCTTTCACGTTTCAGGAAATGTGCTGTTAAAACACCAAGTAATTACAGATGATATATATACAGCTCATTGCTATGGTGACCTTCTATTCATTTCTGTGATGTCCTTGCTGAGACTTACAGCTCAGCCTCAAACAATTAAACTGCTGTCTGTAATAGCCTTGTAAAGTGTAAATTGATTGAATTCGTCAGTTTATGGGGACAAATGCTTCATGTGCCGCTTATTTGTCGTCTCCTAAAATAATGTTTTCTCACCTTCACACTGGGATGCGTCCCTTGATTGTCTTGTTATGTTAATCTTTGTTTGTGTTTACCGCAACGCCTGTTTAGGATACAGCCAGTCAGCTATAATGTGACAGCCAGAGTGTCTTTTAAAAAGAAATTAACTGAGCGGATGCAAATTGACCTTTTCTCTGCCTCATTCCGCTCAGCTTTATGTGAAGCAGAAATGTCAACAAATTTGTCAGCGAATCTGTTTGCTTTGTTTGAGCCTGCTGACAGCGTTCGCACACCTGGACTCACCTTGACCCCGTTTCGCCTTCCCAAGCGATCCGAGCGAGAACAGAAAGGGATCTGGACACACAGCTGTCACTCAGCAGCCTCTCAAAGCAATCCTAGTGTGTTTGTTTAGTCCATGGAACTACGAGTGACAGAGAAGCGATGTGAGCTGTGGCTTATCTGGATGCTAAGCCCTGGAAAGCATTCGCTGTCTGGCACGGCACAGTGGCTGTCAATCAGTTTGTCCATGTGTCAATCAAAACCACCGAAATGAGCTCAAATAAGACACCACAGCGGTGCTACTGCGGGTCTGTGCTTTTTGTCGACATAGCAGATATGAACCGTATTACTAAAGCTATAGTGGAGTTTTCAAGATAAACATTCTGGTTGGTCTAACAACATCTTCCCTGTCTTCTTTATGGCTTCTTCTTTAGATATAAAAACAGACAAATATGTTTTTCTTTTTGTTGCTTCATTACTGCTTCAGCTGCAGCCTTTTTACAGTATGATTTAGAAAAGGACCATGGTTGCAATTTATGTTGTTTTAGTCTGTAATCAGTTGTAAAATGAGCAAATGATCAATTAGTCCTTTTCCAGTTTTACCTGATAGTCTGTGTTTTTATTGTAGATGCTGGTTGGGTTCCTTTTCAAGGTCTTATATGTGGTGTTTTTACTCACTAATGTGATTATTGTCCACCGTTGTGGTGCGGACCGGGGGAATTGGGAATAGCCTCCTTCCGTCCATTTGTCCATTCGTGTTTTGAGCTTGATAACTTGAAAAATAAGTGAGACACCGACTTTAATTTTGGTGTGTGGTTACATCCAGGCGTAAACAAGGTACCTATCAAATTGAGTCCCACTTTAAAATCCAAGATGGCCACCGCCACATATATATGTGTAAAACGGTCAAACGTCATTTGAGGATACTATGCTTTCTAGTTTTTATGATGTTTAAAAGTATATTTTCCTCAGATAAGCGAGGGAGCCAAAGATTTTTCTATGGTAACCAAGGCCACCATTAGCCACCCCATGGCTTCGCTATTGTGCCTGGTGAGGGATAAAATTGCTCCCTCCACTCACCAGTATCCGTAGCTCTGCACCACCTTGTCCAAGCAAAAAAAAAAAAGCTTCTGCTATTCTTAAACAGTGAAGCCTACCCAGATGAATATCTTGCACTAAAAACATTCAGATTTACCGTACTTGCATTCCCTGTTCAATTTCAGTCCAGAAAAACACTCATCTACAAAACTACAAATGTTCACTATTCAAACCTTTCAGTGATGGGGTACATCGGTGCACTGCTTGTTTTTCATGTTATTCCAAAGTGTTGAAGATCACTGTGTATCTTCCTTTGTCAGCTGGCAAAATGGTGATTATTAGTATTACTAGTCATTATTTAAACCTATTTCAATCTGTGGCTTCCTTCACATTCACATATTTTGTTTGGTCTGATTTATCTGACGTATTCCCACTGGCAACTGGCTCGGTACCCCAAAAGGTATCTAAAGAAATATGGGCAAAACCAAGCCCTACGTGGGTTTTCTGTTTAAAAGCAAGAACATGCCAACCATAAGTTTGTTTTATTGCACAAGAGACTCACTCATTGTAAGTGAAATATTGTCAATGTTGCACACTCTTGTCCTGTCTTTCAGCGCTTGTGACTTTACTTTGTTAGTGTTCATCCATTTCACCCAGGAGGAAAATTGGAACCCTTGCAGGATTGTCTGGTGGTTGCTATTATATCTCTCTTGCAACTTTAAGTTTATACACCTGCTTTTGATCTCCCCTATCAAAAAAAGTGCCACTAACGAGCCTCTTGAGGCGTCAGTGCCCTGAGGTTTTAAACAAGGCCAGACATGGAGTCTGACTGTCCAATCTATGTCGTTTCCAGTTCAAAATGGCCTGCCTTATTTTATGGAAGTGTCAGACTGCTGGCGCCGATATCCTGGTGACGTGGAGAAAAGGTTTGCAAGGGGCAGGTCAGAAAGAAGAAATGGAATAGAGCTAGTTATAAGATGGGAGTGTTTTATGTTTTCTATTAAGTCCCATGCTTGAGGAGCAGGTGAAACAATTTAATGATAGAATGAAAAAAGCCGTAAAGGGGAAATAACATGTAAGTCATTATTAGCTCAGGAGTTGAACTTCCTAGTTTAATTCTTGTCTACTGGACAGCAGAGAACAAGGGTCAAAAGAATGAGCTATTACTGAATTATTGGTTTGAGAGAGTGGAACGTGTAAATAAACAGGACAGTAGGCCTGTAGAGAAATGGGGTCTTTGACAAAGTGAGAAAAGTCATGACTACCGGTAAGTTATTAGATCCGCATTAGTTTCTCCAGAAAAGCATGTTCCTCTATATAAAGCTTTAAGGTCGTAACTTAATTGTGTATGGGTCTTGAAGCACAAGCTTAGTGAGTACATGCAGGAGAAACAGTTTAATGTGGAGGTCATTGGAAGCTATAGGCTGAGGCTGAGAAGGGCCAGGAGTTAATCTCTGTTTGACCTGATTTTTCACTGGATGGGGTTCGCTGCTAATTTTCCACCAAACTTTATACAATTTTAGTTTAACAGATCCAATTATTACAATGTTTGGGACTAATAACGTTAAGATATTTGCCAATAACGCACAACATTATACAGAGTATTTGAAAAGTTTGCAGACCTACTGTATCTATCTATTGTAAAAAGAGTTCTTGTTGCCGGTTGCAGAGTGAAAAGTGGGAACTGGAAAGACCTTCCATCCATCAGTGTATGTCGTGAATGAGATAACATGAAAAATAAGTGAGGTACTGACTTCCATTTTGATGTGTGGCTGCATTTAGGCATAAGAAAGGATCCTATAAAAAACTGGGTTGCCATGTGAAAATTCAAAATGGCGACCATCATATAAAGTTTAGAGGGCAAGCTTTCCACTCAAATAGACTTAAGATACAAATGTACAAAGGTACAAATTTACCTGTGTGTTGCATGTAATAGATGCTTGTTGCTGAATAAACTTCAAGTAAAGCCTCCAGTATACTCGCGCGTCCTGTGAGCCACGCGGAAACTGTGCGCACTGTCCACAGAGGGTTGAGACTTCATGCTCAAGCATCCACCCTGAACGACTGCAGAGCAGCTCCACAGACAAGGGGCATTTACCTTTGGGACAAATTGAGGTCGCCGATTGGTCATTTGCTGACACACCTACTGGATTGATTGACAGGTCAAAAAAAAAAAAAAACGAGAGCTGGCAGCCCCAGCCTCAGCTGTGTTCTGTATTTATATGTTGTTAATAAAAAGTTCTTAAAAAAAAAAAAAAAAAAAAAAAGACAGGGAGCGCTGGCCCTGCAGCCCACACATCAGACCAGCCCGCCAGGAAATCTCCAAACCCTCCTGCAGCCACAGTGGACCTGATTTTAATTAGCTTGTGACAAATTCCTTCATTTCTCACCATTTCAGTTATGGCATCAAATGAGGAGAAAGAGATCGCTTGCCTTTTGGCAAATAAACAATAGAAAAGGCCAGATCAGGGATGAAGAAGGGGAATTTAATACTTTGTACAAAGTACATTGATGTTGCATACAAAACAAAAAAATTTGAAAAAATGGGCTTTGCATGGACATGCCCTGCGGGCGTCCGCTTTGGCTCTAATCAGGTATGCACGGACCTCCGCGGACTGACGTTTGCGGAAGTATACTGGGGCTTAAGAGCTAGAGGAAAGTCGTTTCCCTTTAACCTACAACATGGGAATACCATGTATTTTTCTTGCAACTCTTAACTTTAGACATCTGTCAAAAGGTTCTCGGGGTGTGTGATTCTTTTATCACACCTTCTTACATTGACTTGTTGGTATTTAGTTTGTGCCCATGTTGCTTCATGTCAAGAACTAGATTTGTCAGACTAAACAATTGTTAAGATGTTAAATTGTTGAAGAGAATAAAGTTTCAAGGGTCTGGAACTACAGATCTCTCACTGTAGATGAAAGCAAGGTGTCTTAAACAAGAGGTCAATAATTTCCGTCTTTCACTGTTGGTCTAATTAATGCAGAGTAATGTCTATTTTTACTGTGCATCCCAATCTCAGCTCTCAGAGGATGTAATACTGAGTCGCTTCCAGTCAGCCATTGATCCTCCATCAGGATGAGGCTGTTAATCAGCTACTATTGTCAGGACAAGCGCTTCCTAAAGCCGCCATTCCTCTCACATTTCTGCCAACAGCCTAGACATCTTTTACTGTCAGTGTGTGTATGTTTTGGGGAAAAGGGAGTATGTGTGTCCACCTTCTCTATGACTCTGCCTCACTCATGGCTCTATGTCTCATTTTTCATCCTGCACATTTTTGTAATTAAACAGACAAAACAAATCACTTCTCTTCAGTTTGTCTTGACCAGAAAGCAGACTTTTAGGATAATTAGCATTGCCTCACTGATTCTGGGATTTGTTCTTCCTTCATTTGTATCATTTTATTTTAATTTACAAATCTTTGAGAAGCTGTTGTCAAATCACAAGTTTTAAGACACCAATAACCTCTAAACTTGTGTAGCTATTAAAAATTGCTAAAACTGTAGGCATAATAAGCTGGAAGTGGCTCTTTGTTCCTCAGCCATTCTTTCATTGCTATGCAAGCTGTCAGACAGTTTCATGTTCTACCGCCTAAGGCACTTTATGTTTCTAATTCAACTAAGATATGTTTTACTCACTGATACTGTCTGCACAGTTTTTATACTCACTTTATTTATCTTAAAATTGTCACAGAGAATGCAGCTTTCTCAGTCTTTGATGGAAGCGTTGAAAGCCTATTTTTATATGAAGCTCTTCTCCCTAGACTCCCATTTTTTTATCCTGTCAAAAAGCTGTTATCTCTGTGTCTGAATGTACAAAACGCCTTCCATTTCTCTGGCATTTTTTTCTCACTGATGTTAGGTTGTAATCTTCTCCAATGTGGAGACTGTTAAGGACAAACATTTCTTACAGTGGATACTGGTGTTCATTGCCTCCTGCCACTCTTAGCCAATGACTATAAAATGTGTTCAGAGAGCAAACAGGCAACATGTGAGCCTCACAGCCTGGAGATACAATTGGTCTGTTTGTTATGTTTTCTTTCTGGTTTTTAATGTAAGGTTATAGTTAAAGCAATTAATTAAGCTCAAATGTGGAAGCAGAAAAATTGTGCTTGCCAATTTGTGTACAATATATTATAAATGAAAATGCCTGTGGTGAGAGATGGATTGGTGTGGTATATCGTTGTTATGTGTCCCTGTGTAAAGGACACCTAACCTTTATGAATGAGCGACCACCTAATTGACGTGTTCTCTTTTCAGCTGATTGGCTAGCATGGATTTAAAAGGAACAAGCTCTGCCTACTAGATGAGAGAGGGAGGTCAGAGAAGCGAGATGTTGGTCTGGGATCCCCTTTTTCTTGGGGGCTTGTCCGGGATCCAAATATGTTATGTTCATTATGTCTAGGCGTAACTCACAGGATGCACAACACATGGAATCCAGACAATTGTATGTTTAAATAAAAATATTTTAATGAGCAATCATCTGAACAGAAAAAGGGAACTGGGAGCCCCTGCTACAATAAACAAAAGTGAGGGAAACCAGCAGTAGACTGTTGGATTTGGGATGCTTCCCTCACCCTGTAGTCCAGGACCTAACCTTGCAACTAAAAAATGAAAAACAAGGACAGCCAGAAACTCCCAGACCCAGCAAACAATTAACAAAACAAAATGTGGCAGGGCAAAGGCCGGCATCTATAAAAGAAAGGAGCAGAAGCAAGGCTGGAGAGCAGAACCAATAACCATCAGAACATCTCTCCTTTCTGACCTTCCTTGATTGTTTTATCAGATGGAGCTTGTTCCTTTTAAATCCTTGACAGCCTATCAGCTAAAATGAGAACACATCAATTTGGCAGGCACTCATTCACAAAGATGAAACAGGGACACGTAACAACCGTTTATTAAAAATATACATGCTAGGGATCACTCGTGGTAAAACTTAGTACATATATAGGTGGGTTGGAAGTGAGTTACAATCATGTTAATGTAAATTTATTTTCTATAGCACATTTTAAAGTCAACAAGGTTATCCAAAGTACTTTGCGGGTTAGTTAAACACAAAGCTCTCATAATCCTCTCATACTCACAGAAAGCTACCAAAGCAGCTGAATAAGGCAGGAAAAGACTTAAGATCTTTAAAAGTGAACAATAAGAGCTTAAAATCAATTCTAAAAGGGACTGGAAGCCAATGAAGTAACAATAAAACAGGAATGTTGCGCTCATGTCTGGGAATATTAGTTAGAAGTTGGATTTTGCACAAGTTAAAAGCGGCTGATGGAGTATTGAGCTGATAAAAGCATAAATGGCCTTTTCCGGGTCAAGACCATTTTTAAAAAGGCCTGACCCTGTTTAAAACATGTAACTGAAAACAGCTAGCCTTGACTGCAGAGGCAATTTGTTTATCAGACGTCAAAGCCTTGTCTAACAAGTTAAGTGTAACATAATACTTTTACAATAAGCTAAAAACAAACTGAGCAAGAAAAACCTACAATATAAAATACCTGCTGGGACTCAGACAGCCTGTAGTAAAAGCCTATGCAAAGAGAGGAGTTTTCAGATGAGATGTAAATTACAGGATAAAGTCTGCAGTGAGGATACGTAGGAGCAGACTCTTTCAGAGTTTAGCGGCTGCCAATGGCCTCGTCTGCACGAAGAGCATCTGGTTGGATGATCTCGGTTATTTTTGGGGTAATAAAACTCAAGCAGATTGGTGAAGCAGTTGGGCGCCAAACCATTTAAAACATTAAAAGTAAAAGAATGGAGTGATGTAGTTATGTCTTTATAATGTCTTTGTCATGATAAAATCAGTATAAACCTTCACTTTTACCAAAACAGCAGCAGTTTCCATGGTGTCTTGTATTTTGAAATAAAACCTTACTTGAACTTATAGATAATGAAAATAATTTACTTACAGTATGGTTTTATTTGCTTCGTGAAAACTTCCCCATAGGTTGGCAGCAAGACTTCTGCATCTAAAGTTTTATCCTTTAAGGCTGTCTAAAGATGAGTTACTTTTGTTTTTGTGCATAAGTGATGATCAGTGAATGTGAAATAAGACCAAAATAATGCAGTTATTGATGATTACATTCAGAGAGGGACTAAGCAATGTAGCTAAGGTGAGTTCATTGACCAGAATAAATATATATTTTGATTGCTATTTATTTATGGTACTTTTTTTATTATCCCTTTGGCTCATCATGACACGGAGTAAAGAAATCAAATTTTTGTGTTTCATATCAGCTGGTTAAGCCAGTTGAAATAATCAGCAGATTTTTAGTTTAGTCAATTAAAAAGTGACATTTTCTTGATTGCTGTGCTCCACAATCTGCATAAAGATGGGCAAAGTGACATCATTAACTTCCATTGTCCAAAATTGAAGACTAAATGTTGGATATTTTGGGGTGAGGCGATGTTATATTTTTGTAACCAGAGGCTTCATCCTCTGTTTCTTCAGAACAAAAATCCCACCTACACTCCTTTTACTTTCTGACCAGCTGTCACATGGTCAGTCACAAGTAACATAATACTATTTAAGCCTCAAATAATTCAACAATATTAAACATCATTTTTCAAAAGTGTATTTAAACAAACACCTGCAAGGTAAGAACTACATGGGTCTAAAAAAAAATCCATTGTGATGAGTCACTAAATCCTTTTCATTTTTATTTTTTTAACTTTTAATTTAACCTTTATTTTACCAGGCAAGACATTAAGAACAGTTTCTTATTTGCAGTGTCGGCCTGGCATTAATTTACATGGAAGTGCAGGACTTCAAATTTGTTCTGCAGCCTGCCTCTAGGGGGCGCTCATCCTTTGTGTCGTCAACTTCTGGCTTCTGGTCATGTCTTTCTTTACTATATGGGCTCTATTTGAAAGATGTACAAGTATATTTACAATTTACAGTAAATGCCAATCCAATTGCCAATGGCTGAGTGGTTAGAGCAGTCGTCCTCCAATGCAAGAGTTGGGGGTTTGAATCCAACATTATTCACATGCCAAAGTGTCCCTGGGCAAGACACTGAACTCCTCGTTGCCTCCGATGTGTCCCATTGGTGTATGAAAGCACTGATTAGTCTCTTTAGAATGATTTGTTCAATTAGCTTTGTATAGATCTAGTAGAGTGCTGTATGAATGGGTAAATGAGGACACAGACTGTAGTGTGAAGCGCTTTGAGTATCTTGATAAAATAGAAAGGCGCTATATAAGTACAGTCCATTTACCATTTACCAATCACTTCCTGAGCTTCTGGTTTTGTTCTTCCCTCTCTGTCATTCACTGTCTTCCTCTTTATTCTCTCTGTCAGATCGGCACAGAGTGGGATGCTAAAGAACGCATGTTCAGAAACATCGGCGGCCTGATGGGTCCCATGGACGAGGCGGTGGGCATGCAGAAGTGGAATAAAGGGCCGAACGTCACCGTCACCATCGTTTGGATCGACCCCACCAACGTCATCGCCGCGACCTATGACATCCTGATCGATGCGAGCGCAGAGTTCACACACTACCGCCCACCACTCAACCAGCCTCTGCGCCCTGGGGTGTGGAGCGTTCGCATCCTGCACAACTGGAGCCCTGTGGCTGAGATCAGATTCCTCATCACCCCACTGGCTTATAACAAGCACCAGCCCATCAGGCAAAGTAAGGATTCAAACAGCAGCTGTAGTTCTAATGAGGCTTATTTCTAACTAGCTGTGTGTTTCAGCTTTTGGGTAACACATAATTATCAATGATTGTGTTATTTATCCAAATAGCCTTGCTGAACTTAATGCACGGTTGTGATTTTTTTTTTTAAACTAATGTGAGTCAGGGTTATGATTCATTTTTTCACTAAGTTTGTAAATTCTACTTTGCTGATCTCGCTATCAGGTATTGCATCTTACGGTTATTATTTTATTTCCCACTGACACCAACAGTGTCGCAGACTAGCGCTTTATTGACCGAGAAGTAACGATTGCTCGTTTCCAAACGTCTGCAGACCCACACAAGCACAACGCAGCTTCGCATTCGCAGTGATGCCCTTTCTAATCAAGCCTCTGGGCCTCTGCAGACCCTGGTTATTTGTCATCAAGTCACCCCTAATAACCCAGCGAGCCACTCGTACATACTAAACAGAGTGTTAAACAACAGTGCACTTAGCCCTTTAAAAACAACGACACAGTTAAATCAATCAGTCAGCACGGACAGGGGACAGGACTGTAGCGCTCTCATCCGTTAACAGACGGTTTGCTCGGAAAGTCACACTTTAATAATCTCCCCGAGCTGTTTTATAATGATGAAGAGAAACAACAGATAAAGTTAAAGCCTTTGTTCCGAATGTGAGCCTCCGTGGGGCTGTTGTGCATCAGCGTAAGTTACAAATCAATCCCAGGAACATGGTCAGGTTTGTGTTCTGGCCTTCTATTGATGAAAATGATTTATTAAAATTAAGTATATAAAATTTATATATATATTATAAAATGTTCATTTAGAAATAATACAACTGTACAGTGCTCTAAAAACTCATAATTGCCACCAATAAACAAGATTAGAAGGTTCTTGCTACTTGGAGTGTTTATTAATGCTGGTGTTAGTGTGTCTCTTTGGTTCCCATGGCGATACGATCTTAACACATTGTAAAATGGATTTATTTCTTCCATTGAGTCATTGTATAAGTGCTGATTCAGCTATTGTGTTCCTGGTGTTTATTTTTATTGGTTTTATTTTTGCAAACTACGGTACCTCTGCGTACTTCGTTGCATTTAACCATTCCTGTATCCAAATGTTTAGCTCATTCAGGAGATAGGCGCCACAACTTTTGATTTTTCTAACTTTTCTACTTTTTAAAAATAACTTTGTAAACAAATATTCTCTCCTTTGATATACATTAGGGTATCTTCAATTGTCTGAAACATTGGTCTTTTTTTTAAATCTGGCTCAGCACACTTGCTTTAGTCGTCTTGCGCAACTTTTAGGTTTTAGCTACCGTTCAGTTAGTTTCAGCTTTTAGATAGCCATTTGCCATTTTTACCTTTGCATCATTCTGCTCCTTTTGCTTTTTAGCTACCATTTTGCAATTTTTAATTTTTCACAAATCTCCACATTTTTTTTATTTTTCACTACACTTCTGCTACATTTTGATAGCCTTTTGCTACTTTTAGCTTACCTTTTGTTATTTTTTTAGCTTTTGGTTGCCTTTTTGCTTCTAGCTAGCTTTTTTTTACATTTTTATCTAGTCTTTTGCTACTATAATTTGGATTTTTTTTTTTTTGGCTTGTCTTCTTGTGCAACTGTTAGTTTTTAGCTAACGTTCTGTTAATTTTAGCTTTTAGAAAGCATCTTACTAATTTTACTTTTAGCTATCGTTCTATGCCTTTTGTTTTTTTAGCTATCCTTTTTCATATTTTAGGTTTTAACAGGTCTTCACTTTTTTTTTGTCTTTCATCTACACCTTTGCTACCCTTTTGCTACTCTAGCTTCAAGCTAACCTTTAGACAGTTTAGCTAGCCTGTTGCTGCTTTAATTAGGATTTTCTTCTTTTTGGTTTTTAGCTTGTCGTCTTGTGCAACTTTTAATTTTTAGCTACCATTCTGTTAATTTTAGCTTTTTGAAAGCATTTCAGTGCTTTTACTTTGGGCCACGGTTCTGCTCATTTTTGTTTTTTGGCTTTTGCTCCTTTTAGGATTTAGCAAGTCTTTACATTTTTTAGCTTTTTGTTACACCTTTGCTACATTTTGCTAGCCTTCTGCTTCTTTTTGCTAACCTTTTGCTTTTTTAGCTAGCCTTTTGTTATTTTTATCTTTTGGCTGCCTTTTTGCTTGTATCTACCCTTTTGCTAATTTAGCTTGTAGCTAGCCTGTTGACATTTTTAACTCGCCTTTTGCAGCTTTAACTAGGGCTTTCTTGTTTTTTGCTACCATTTTGCTTGTTTTACAATTGTTTAACAATTTAGCTTCAGCTTCTTGAACACATTCGTCTGCATTTTGTGTGAAAAAGTCATTTCTCCTGTCCAGTTGCGATGCTTATTGTTTCAGCGTGTGCTTGGCTTGCATCATGTGTTTCGTCATGTCTTTTCTTTTCATCTATCTGCCTGTTATTGTCTGCTGTTTTTGGCACCAGGTGTCCCTCCTGCTCTCAGTGCTGCTAAAACTTTATGATGTGGCAACAGCAAACACATGCATGACTTTATATCCCACAGTGGTACCACAAAGCCAGCCGTACGTCCCGGCTGGTGCAGAACCTCGTGTCTGTCTGCATCATTCTATCACCAGCGCGTGAAGAAACGCTGATGTCTGCAAACATCTGGGTGGGAGGGAGGGATTTTGCTCCAAGGTGGTGCTTTAAAAGGATGGCTGGCATCCCAGTTAGAGGAGCAGTGAGGAATTTAAAGCTTCACTGGAGCTCAGGGTGGAAAAGGTGCTTAAAGAGAAGTCGTGTCTGTGATTACCGTCTAGCTTCTAAGGCTTCACTGTTGTGAGAGGAAGGAATGAGGACACACCTTGAATTTCCGCATAAAAAGCAGGCAATCACGTAAATGCATGATGCGGTTTGTGTGTGTTTGTTTGTCTGTTAGCAAAAGTTTTAAAAAGGCTAGCTAATATCTAAAAAATTAAAAAGCTTGCTTAAAGTAGCAAAAGGTTAGCTAAAAGCTAAGGTTACAAAAAAAAAATGCATCTAAAAGTTAAAGTATCAAAGGCTGACTCAAAACCTAAAGTAGCTAGATGTTAGGTAAATATAGTAAAAGGCTAGCTAAAAGCTCAAATAAGTCTAGCTGGAAGTTAAAAGAAGCAGAACAGTAGCTAAAAGCTAAAAGTATCAAAGTCGTGTGTGCTGAAGCAAATTTTAAAGTTTGTGAAAGAATTAAAGATATCTCAGTGAATGTCTGCTGGAAAATACTGTTAAAAAAAAAAAAAGGTAAATCTTTTGAAAAGTATTAAAATTGCAACAAAAAATAAAGCATCGACTAAATGAGTTGACCATTTGATATAAAATAGCAAAATTTGTAAAAAATAAAATAAAAAATAAAAAAGTATGCAGAAGTTAGATTGCAAAAATTGTGCAGAAAAAAGCAGTAAAATATGAATGTTGAATCCATATTCACAAATTATTTACCGTATTTTTCGGACTATAAGGTGCACTTAAAATCCTTGAATTTTCTCAAAAATCGACAGTGATTTTATAATCTTATTTTATAATCCAATGCGCCGTATTTATTAATTCTGGTTATGCTGACCTCGAACTGATTTCTTGTGGTACACGGTTCTCAAAAATCTGTCAAAATGAACTTGTTTCGCTTAATGCGCCTTATAATCCAGTGCGCTTTATAATCCAGTGCGCTTTATAATCCAGTGTGCCTTATAATCCAGTGCACTTTATAATCCAATGCTCTTTATAGTCCAAAAAATACGGTATCTGAACTGGCGTGTTGACATGAATTTTATTCCTCTCTCTACAGCCCAGTCTATTTGTTTGACCACTAAGTGTCCCTTCTGTCTCTGTGTCTCCAGAGGACACGTTAAAGCTCCACAATGGCCCGCTGAAGAACAGCTACATGGAGCAGAGCTTTCACGGTCTGAACCCGGTTCTGAACATCCCCGTCAGCCTGGCGTACGTGGAACAAGCAAAGAGGAACGCAGCCCTGAGTGGCCCAGAGCTGGAGCGCTGGGTGGACGGCCTGGTGGGTGAGCTGTGGGAGGCAGCGGATGTCTGCGCTGTTGGACCCACCGCCTGCCCGGTCATGCAGGCCTGCACCAAAAGTCCGTGGAGCTCCATGAGCCCAGATCCCAAATCCCAGCTCGGAGCGCCGCGGGCCGACGGTCGCATTAGGTAGCACCGAGGCCTCCAGCTGGACAGGAGGCCACGGCACTGTTTATTTTATTTATTTAAGAGCTTTCATGCAAGTGGGGGAAGGGTGGGAGTTTCTTCTGTGCCCCCTGTGAAGAATAAATAAGTGGACTTTTCAGGCGAGACGTTAACAAAGCTGTCTTAACAGAAAGAAATGAGGAATGCATTTTTTAATCCTCCCTCGGAGTCCATTTTTTTAAAGGAATTTTGCTGGCTCTGCTGTTTAAGTTTCTCAATTTATTTATTTTTGTGTTTATGGTTGAGTTTTAATGTGATCAGACGCTGGAATTCTTCTTTTTTTAATTTTTTTTATGCCGTGCGCAGGAACTGTGGCCGTTTGGATGGTTGACACTGCTTGCAGTCGAGCTCCTGCTGCAAAAAGGCCTTAGTCGTAATAATCAGGGGGTGGTCGGGTACTGAATGAAATGTGCCTCCATAAGGTTTATGTTTTTATGCCTGAACTGATAAGAAATGTCATTTTAACACAACTCAAAGGCAGATGCACCAAAAGCCAATTTTAGTTATTAGAAAACTAATTAATTACTGTTTAGAATTTAAAGTAATAATTCACACATTTCTGCAGACTAGTGCCTGATTAGGTTGTTGAACAACTGTGGCTTGACATCAGAGTTCACGCTCAATAATCCAGGTAGAAAATCCAGCAAAGTTCAATCACGTCATCTGGACAGTTTCTTTTTTTATTGAGACATTTCAACCTTCATCCAAAGGACTTCATTAGTCCGAGGAGCACAACAAACTCAGTTCCACAAGCAGCGCACTCACATAGTGGGCCAACCAGTTTGCTGATGATAAGCTGGTTTCTGAGGCCCGCCCTCTAACCTGTCGACTCCTCTGAGGCAGCCATGGAAATTTTATCCTCTTTTTGGGTGTGCTGAAGCACACCTAAATTTTAACTCAGCACCCCCACCCCCCGAAAATATGAGGATCTGCGGTGAAAGTGGTTTCCAGTGTTACATTACAAATGCTTCTGACGCCAATGGCCACCGCATTGTTCAAGCCAAGAGCTATTGTCAACACTGGGGGCTAAGCGCCCCTAAGGGATAAATTCTAGAATCGCCCCTGGAGGCAGCCATAGCCTAAGTGGTTCAAAACATCAAAGTTCATGCTCAATAATCCAGGTAGGAAATCCAACTAAGTTCAGTCAGGTCATCTGGATGATTTATTTTATTTATTTATATTATTTTTTAGATGTTTCGTCCTTTCATCCAAAGGACTTTTTGGTTTTGAACCATTTTGGCTATGGCTGCCTCAGAGGAGTCGACGGGGGAGAGGGCAGGCCCCAAAAAACATCTTATCATCAGCAAACTGGTTGGTCCACAATGTGAGTGTGCTGCTTATGGGACTGAGTTTGTTGGGGCTCCTCGGACTGATGAAGTCCTTTGGATGAAGGACGAAACATCGCAGCAAAAAACGAAACTGTCCAGATGACCTGACTGAACTTTGTTGGAACTGTGGCTTGACTGATAATTTGCAGTTGTCAAATTAGTTGACGAGGATAAGGAAAAAATATGTACTTTTAGAATAATGGGATTTTAAAAAGTTAAACGTAAAGGAAATGAAGTGTAGACATTTTAGTATTCAGAACTCCTTCTTAGCTATTTGAACTGTAGTCTTTTCAGATTTAACATTTAAATAGAGTAGGTTTATTTTAATGACACCCAGATGTTGTAACAAGCAGCAGACAAGACTTTTTTTTATATATATATTCATATAATTAACCTGCCTCAAACTTGAAACTAAATTACCTTAAACTGACCTTAAAATTTGTGTCCTGTTTCTTATTTCCAGTCATTTCAGCAACACTTAAACGTTGTACATAATTATACGAAACGTCTCAAAAACTGCGTGAACGGTGGCAGAGAATTGTTATTTATTTCTAAGTTTATAATAATACTGATATTTTTAGTCAGTGACTAAATAACTGCAACGCTGCCTTGGCAGCATGATGAATATTTTTTTGTAAAAGAAAGACGCCTTTATTTACAAAGGCCAACACCCCGAGCTTATTCCGTACCTTTTTATGGCCCGCACCTGTTGTGTGTTAGTCCGTGTCGTCCCGTCTGAATAGATCTTCGTGTCCCGGTTTCTCACACGGCTGTTTGTTTGCCAAGTGAAACACAAAGAGAAAAAAAAAAGAACGAACAATGAGGTGAAGAGGTCAGCTACCTCACGACCTCAAGATGAACGCAAACGCTCCTCGCAAGCAAACACACTGGACAAAGTCTGGACCGAAGGTGGAACCGTGCGCCTTTTTTCTTTTTTTTTTGGTGTTTTCTGTCCGTTTCAGAATGATCAGTGGTTGTGATACTCATGCTGTGACAATAATGTACAATTTCAAGTGAATATTATATCGTATCTCAAGTGCAGAACGGATAATTTACCGGACTCGCTCCACAAGTATCTTTTCTCTATACGACGAGACAATCCCTGGACGTCTGACACGACGAGTTAATTATATTTTGAAGGCCGGCCGCAAATCCCGCAACAAGAAGTTTGCTCACATGTTTGTTTTACCTTGAAATAAGTTTCATCTGAAGCCAATTAGGTTTTCAATCCGTGACTGTCAACATTGTTTAGTCGCCACACGAGCTAAATGAGTGGTTTTGCACAAGCTAATGAAGAGACATTACTGTTCATTAATGTCAAGTTCACCTTGCCTCTCTGTCAGATGTGAGTGTTATTACCACTATCTCTCTTTCCTTTTCAACTCTTTGTTCCTGGTGCAAAACTGTAAAAGACAAAGCTGTTGCTCTGAATAATTACCTGTTATGATGTAAACGTGATGGCAGGGTTTTTTTTGGGGGGGAGAGAGGGGAGAAAAAACAGTGAATAAAGTAAATGTAACTAAATGTGAAAGTCATATTTTGTAACAAGATGAATAACAAATGAAGATGTATATAGGTATTTTGTATTGAAATATTATTTAGACATGTAAATACGGACGTGTTAAACTGACACTGAATTGTTCAGAGTTTTTAAAAGTGTCAGGAACTGGACAAAGCGAGCGAGTTCACACTGTTTGTTGATCAGAAAACAAAATGCTTCAGTATTTCGGACAGGCTTTTCCTCTTTGTGTCTCGGAGAAACATCTGATTATTGTTGTTCTTGCTGGAATGTATTGTTGAGCAACTGTTGCACAAATTTCTCTGACGGATGTTTTTGCCCCCTTTTTTGTTTCGTTTCTACTCAGAGAGGCTCCGTGTGCCTTAGCTGACTTTTAGAACCTTCTCTGTCCATTAAAAGGAAGATCTTTTATTTCTTTCCATCCTTTGTGAGTCGTTCGTCGGTACTCGGACACAAACGCGATGTCTGCTGTTGTATATATCATCAGGCCTTCTGTTTTTATCAGCTTTTACCTTGGTTTGTTTTTCCCTTTACTTTACAGGATTTCTTTTATTGAATTGTCTTGTTTGACTTTTCACCGACTGCTTTTTGGAAATAAAAATCTTTTCAAGGAAAAAACAGCTCATGTGCTTTTGAATGAAGATATTGTGGCACGATGCATTGTAGCGCTTTAACTTCTTAAAAAGCAAGTTTGAGTTAAATTTGTTTGATTTGTGTAGCGCCTGTTTCGCAACAAAGTCGTCTTAAGTCTCTATACGAACGTCCAGTTAAGTCCAAAACACATCCTGATTCAAATCCACTTCTAATCAATTCAGTTCAATTATTATACAATATGTTGACATACGATACGTTATGAAATGCCAGTTATTAAAAGTAGGGGTGCACCGATTTATCGGCCAGCTGATAAAGCCTGACTGTCTTTGTACATAGCTTGATGGGGCGAGTAATTTTATAAAAATAAAAACTTGTACAGCAAAAATTGTGACGACTAAAAAATGACATGCAGGTAGCTGACGTGTCAGAAAAACTTCCAATTTGATTTTTATCGTCCACTGCCAATGGAAAAGGGTGCAAATGTTTTTAAGAACGAGTTAGCAAAATATTTTATAAACATGGGGTGCACCGATAAATTGGAACGACCGATTTATCGGACCCGATTTCCTTAATTTTGGGAGATCGGCCGATACTTACACGAGAAACCAATTTGACCTTTTTTTTTGTAGTTTTAACAACAATTGTCTAAACTTCATTTATATTTCAGAGCACTACCTCATGGCCAGTTCAAACAAGTTTGTATTGTTTCTAAGATATTGTTCAAGTATTTTTCAATAAAATAAGATTGGAAAATTGAAGGTGCATTGTGACCTTATAACGCCGGACGGTGTCGCTTATAAAACAAAATCGGAATCGGCAGGTCGACTTTTTAGAGGTCGGTGATTGGACAGAAAACTGCAATCTGTGCACCCCTAATTTAAAGTTATCTATTGGACGAAAGCGAGCAGATTGCATTTAGTCTTCACCTTGTCACAGTCACCCTGAGCAACATGGGGTAGAGGCAGGGCAGCCAACTCGGGACCCGAAAGTCCCAGGTTCGACCACCAGTCATGTGCATTTCGTGGTGTCTCTGAGCAGCACACCCTATCCCCAAATTGCACCCCGGTACTTTCAATAGCTGCTCACTGCTCCACCTGGTGGTGGATGGGGCAGAGAGCCAATTTCACCATTGTCTGGAAACACATTGATGACAAAACATAACACATTATTATCATTATTATTATTATTATGCTGACAATGATAGAATGGACTAAACCCCTTTTAACAGGAAGAAACCTCCAGCAGAACCTGAACCAGGACTTATGACCATCTGCCTCAACTGGCTGAGGTTTGAGAGGACAAGAAAGAAGCACATACGGCTGGTCAGGTGTACTTCTATGGTTGGAAAAACAAAGAAAAGAAGTTAATGGCAGTAATAATAGCAAATTAAAAATGGATACTAGAGCAAGGTGAGGAAACGTGTTCAGTTTGTCCTCCAGCAGTTTAAGCCCAAAGCAGCATAAATAAGGGATAGCTCAAGAAACCCAAGCCAACCCTAACTCTAGGATTTGTCAAAAAGTTCAGGTTCAAGCCTAGTCTTAGAAGAAGACAGGTTGTCAAGTCTCATGGGCAGAAATTGAAAGATGGTTCAACAAGAGAGGAACCTGATAACTGAAAGTTCTGCCTCCCATTCTACCTATAGAAACTCTAGGAACCA